ACATCCTATAATGGGGTAGTTAAACCATTCCCATCTATAACGTTATATGCGCTTTGGTTGTTTATTATTTTCCTCTTTTACTTAGTAGTATATCCAGCACGTGTCTTCTCTATACTCTATCTATCTAATGGATACGTGCGTGGGATTTTAGTGGTCTAGGTAGTACTATGGTATATAGTTTACTTCCTCGTTCTTATAAACCTTATACGTGGGCCAGTTCTTGTATATTATCTCTGCCTAATCCCATTGTTCCTTCGAGACCTTGGCTCCTCCTTATGGTTCGAACGTGATGGGTTGGATATATCCATCCAAGTGCATCACTACCCTATAGGTAAGGTCGCCGTCTCGAGGTTAATTAGGTTCTAGAAATTCCTATACATTTGGCGTATCACTACTTAATCCGGGTTCTGGTGTATAGTTGGGTGTTATTAGGTTATTCTTAAGGTGTTGGCCTTAAGGGTAAGGAGTAGGAGATTATATAATCTCTTCTATATCTAGCTCTTCCTCTACACTAAGGTATACGTCCGAGCCTCTATTTAGGTCTTTATATAGTCGTGAGTTAGGTAAATCTAGTTAATCCTAATCTTCAATCTTAAGCTTCTTAATGTTAGTAATTATTATCTATTCTTTATTAGTTGCCTCTACATTGCTGGTAGATAGTACATTTAACTGTACGGTTCTTATAACCTTATTCTTAGAACGGCAGTTCCTAGTGATATGGCCTAGTTTGCTATATGTAAAATATTTATGGGTCTTAGTCGTCCTTGGTCGACTTCTATCTAAGACGCGTGGTTTAGGCTTATGGAAGCCTAATGCCTTTCCTTTTTTTTTACTTAAGTAGTTAAACTAGATATCTTCTATAGGTGCGTAGCTATACGAATTCTATAATTATTATTAGTAAGGTTTAGTTAACTTCTAGTAGATAACTAGTGGTGGTTACCTAAAGCTTACTCTTAGGTTCCTTATAAGATCCTATTATAGATTGTACCATTCTCTATTAATCCTAATACACTCATTATATAAGTCCTTAAGGGTATTAATAAGTCTACTACTACGCTATAGTTCCTTATATAGTTATTTCTTAAGTCCTTATTTATACATTTATATTAATAATTTATCTTCCTAGTCTAGTTATATAGCGTACTTGCGGAACTCTATAGTATACTTAGCTATAGAACGTTATTAAACTAGGGTTTAGATGGTTCGTGTGGCTATTGCTTCCTAGTTAGTAATTCTAAACATCTATTTAACACCATTCTTAAAGTTCTTATAATCTTTAATAAGTGTAATAACGCTAAGGTTACTTTATACATAGTTAGGGTCGACGTTATTATTATTAATATCTTATTATTATACGCGAGTTGTGCCATAGGTAGTAGTAAAACCCAGTTATTTTTCTAATTATTATAGTATATTTAGAGATACGTTTCCATAGTCTAGTTTATTCTTTCTATTTTTCCGTCCGTCTATGGATGATAGGCTGTTAATAGTTTTTATTTTGTTCCAATGAGTGCTGTGAACGTGGTCCAAAAGTTTAATATAAAGAGTTTATCTCTATCGCTTATAATTGTTTTTGGCATACCATGGTGTCACATCCATCTATCCATAAAGAGATACGTGAGTTCTTTCGCTGTAATCTTCTTAAGGCATGGAACAAGTTCGACATAGCTAGTAAGTTAATATATAATAACGAGTATACTATTATATGAGACTTCTATAGCTGGATTAATTGACTTTAGTGCTTATATTTCTCCGTATTTAAGATGTGTGCCATGTTTGTTCTTTTGGCAATCTACGTATTTTTAGATATATGCTGTTACAGCTTCCTTTATACCCCTAAAGGTATAGTTTCTTTGGATAAGTTCCATTATCTTAGTGATGCCTAGGTGTCCGTATATAGGGTCATCATGATATTATCTAATAATCTTAGTCTAGAGATGCTTTAGTACTTCTTAGTTAATAACTAAGAATTGGTTGAGTTCTACCATTGGTTCTAGAGATCCATCTTTAGCTTTATAAAGGATTGTGGAGAATGTCTTAACCTTTTCTCCTACCAGGTTACTTTATTAGCTAAGAGCGTCTACTCGTCCGTTTTCTTTTCCTACTATATAGATAATCTTGAACTTATACTACCTAGTGGTCTATAACCATCGCTGTTGTCATGGCGTAAGTTCTTTAGTTATCGTGAACTTTAGTAAGTTCTTGTAATCCGTGTAGATTTCTAGC